AAGGAAATCACGGAGGTCGGTAGGCAGAGTGGATGAGGGGGACCATTCCAGGCATGTCTTGTTTGCGGAGGCCAACATCACTGGATCAAAGAGTACATATCAGGGTGTAAAGTGTAAGAATACTGTAAAGGTAGGAGGGGACTGGGTTATGAAGGGCTTTGAATGGAGGTAATAGGAAGCCACTTGTGTCCCACCTTCATAGTTCCTCCAAGATCCTTCAACACTCGACTTCTGGATGCTGTCCAGATTATCCACATCCTTCCTAACTGTGGTGCCCAGAATGAGCACCATTCTAGGTACGGTCTGACCAGGGTGGGGGGCAGTAAGGCTATTCTGAACACTCATTTTGAGCACTATCCTTCTCAGTGAGATCTAAGATCACATTAGCTACTTTGGTTCCATATCACAGTGTTCAATCATTTAGCTTGAAGTACATTAAAATCCCCAGATCTTTTTTTTTTTCATGAAGACTCCTGTCTAGTCATACCTCCCCTTATATCTTATACTTCTGAACTTAATTTCTTTTTTTTATCCAAAGAGCAAAAGTCACCATTCATCCCTGTTGAATTTAATTTTAGCTCTAGTCCAATGCTCCATAGTCTGTTAAGATCTTGGGGATCTTAACCTTGTCATTCAATGTATTAGCTTCTGATCCCAACTTTATGTCATCTCATGCTTGAACACAAATGATTGAAAAAAATGGCAAACAGCACAGGCCACTCCTAGAGGCATAGGCCTCTCATTCAAATTAAAAATCTACCTTACTACCGTCTATGCCGAGTCTCTCCTTTTCCAACAAAAAACATCGTGAGAAATTTTGCCAAATGCTTTGCCTGAATCTAGCTAGATGATTGTCTTTAGCATTATTCTGAGAGACAGTCTAGTAACTTCATAAAAAATAAAAAAAGAAAATGAGATTGGCCCTGGGTGGCCTGTTCTTGATGAAGTCATACTCACTATGTATGCTTCCTTCTCTAGCTGTTTGTAAAATGTCCCTTTAATTATAAATTTGAGGATGTTGCCAGTGAACAAAATTTAAGCTCGTGTCCCTTTAGTATGCAAGTGACAATCTCTTCCCTTTTCTAAAGATCCAGACATTTGTCTTTCTGAAACTCATTTTTTTAAAAGCTTGGAAAGATGAGAAAAACTTCCTAATTTGCTTTATTTTGAAGTCGGAAATACTGGGTCCATTTTTCCAGGTGAGGAAGGAAGACAAACTAGGGGAGATGGTTATAGTTCTATCCACATTAAGTAGTATTTCCATGTGCCCAGGGCTAGGCAGTGTGGCCTATGATAGGGGTCTTGAGGTTAACTCCTAGGAAAGGATTAGAATTAGTCACTATATTTCTGTCCTGTTTTGATTGGAGCTCGATGGAGCCTGTGTTCCCACTTTATAAAGGAGTGAGAGATTTCTCTTTGGGTATTCCCTTGCTGAAATCTCATGTTGCAGAAGCCTTCAGTTACTGTGGGGTGGAGGCAGGGACTTAGCTTCCTGGAGCTCACTCTCTAGGTTATGAAAACAAATCTCTCTCCCCATGCCAAAATCAACCATATGAAAGGGCTTGGCAGAAATGACAAGCTCCATTGCTAGCTCAGCACTCTCCTACTGTCTTGGCCTCCTTCCCTTCCCTCCTCCCATTTCCTTCTAATGGTTGAGTACTTTCTCAGTTGCCAAGGACTAAGTTTTTGTCAGGTAGCAAATAAAAGAAAGGCTAACGTGCTAGGAGTGTCTGAATAGCACATACAAATTGTGTGATTCATACAATCACGGTGTGGAGGAGCTCAAAGAGACTGTAAGGGTTGTATAATCTAATCTCCTATTGGACACCAAAATCTCTACAATGAAACACTGATGGATCAGTGATTTCATCAATGTAGTTACTCCCTTCCCCAAAACAGATTGTGACACCTCTGTCACGTTCTCATCCTGTGCAATTTTAATGCACATGTTCCTGTAAGTCTTAATAGATTTCATTCATATCATTCATTGTGATACAGGGAGAGAGACTGGACCTGTGATTTCATTGGCATAAGGATGAGGTCTTTTCCCAACAACAATTTGCCCATTTAGGTAAATGATATAAGTAGACTGGTCCATAGCCATATGGCTAGTAAGTGACAGAGCTGACACTAGAACCCAGGTCTTTTATCTCTATGTTCAGGGCTCTTTTCATCACATTACCTGAACAAATGGTCATCTGGCCTCCTCTTAAACATTTCTAGTGATTTGGACCTAGCTACCCTTCAAGTCAGTCCATACTATTGTCGACTAGCTTTAGGCATCATAATTCTTTTTGATGTGAAGCTGAAATATAATAAACCTCATCTCTCCTCCTCCCCCCATCACTTCTACTCATTGGTCTTCTGCTCTCTGGGGATATACATAATAAGTCCAATCTCACTTTTACATGACAAACTTTTAAATATTTGTACTATGTACTAGGCTAAAAAGTCCCAAATTCCTTCAACTTTTCCTAATAATAATAACTTTTATTGAGCACTTTAAATTTTGCAGAACTCTGCACCTATTGTCTTACTTGTGCATTGCAGGCATTATAGGTATTTTTAACCCTATCTTGCAGATGAGGAAGCTGAGGCTTTGAGAGATTAAATTATTTTTTCCCCCTTGGTCACACAATTATTCAGTTTTAGCATCTGGTACCTGGAAGTCCAGCACCCAAGCCACTGTGGTATTTTACTTCTCAATAGGATCAAAATTATCCTATACCTTTGGGCTCAGGTTACTATTAGCCCAATGATCTCAGCTATTTTGAGAGTCTTGAGGTATTACATGGAGGAAGTCAAGGCCATCTTCCCTGATATCACATCACAGTTCACTGAGGGCTTTCTCTGAACTAAATAGTAAGAGTTTATTATAATATATTTTAAGAGGTTGACATGACTTCCTAACATCCTCTAGTTTGTCAATGGTCAGCAGTCACATAGTTGCCCTTTCTGGTCCCTAAAAGACCATATTCCCCACTCATATATAATGGTAAATATTCATAGGTTGCAAACTGGAACTTTAATACTGTTGCTTAAGGATCCTTGTACCATCTGGAAGTCAAGAGTAGCCACTGATATCATGATGACCTGGCAGCAGCCTATGAGTTCTTAAGGCCTGATAGATTTATTTTTAAAAATAGGAATGATTTTTAAAAAATCCAAATAGAGGAATACTTGGGAATATGTGCTTTTGGCAGTAGTGGTAGTGGGAGTGGTAGGAGAGAGAAGGAACTCTCTCCTCCAATCTGTGATGATAGTAGATACATCCTAATACACTGTCTGAGTCACATAGAGGTTAAATGGCTTACTCAGGATCACAGTTAGCAATCCTTGGGTCTTCTAGAATGGAATACAAGCCCTCTATTTACTATACCACCATGCCTCTTTCTTTCTGTCACATTGTGATAACTACCAGAGGGAAAGGGGCATGCCAAAAGACAATGACACAGTGATTGGTGGAACTGATAATAAAAATTTGGGAGCCTTATGAGGAAAAACAGAATAGCCTTACCTCCTAATAAATATAGTAAGAAGGATATAAGGCACAACTGGGGAGCCAGAAATGGACTGGTCTAAAGCTGGACTCTATAGGCTGTTGTGGAAAATGGCCTGGATTTGGAGTCAGAGAATGTGGACTTGAGTTCTGGTTCTGTTACTACCTGTGTGACCTTGGGCAAGTCTTCGTAAAATGAGAGTTTTGGATGAGATAATCGCTAAGGTCCTTCTCATCTCTGAGTCCTCAAGAGATATAGTAGAGGATTAGATTTGAAGTTAGGAAGATGTTGCTTAAAATGCTACCTCTGATACCACTTACTCTGTGCATGATCCTGGACAAGGCACTAAATCTCTTTGAGCCTCAGTTTCTTCTTCTGTAAAATAAGGATAGTAAAAACTGCAGTACATGCTTCCCAGGGTCTTTGTGATGGTCAGTTTACAAAATCTAAGTAAAGTGTTTCGCAAACTTCAAAGAGCTATACAAATGTCACTAGTTACGATGAAGGATACCCATCCAATAAACCTGGGCTCCAAGGGACCAGGGTTGACATAAGTCTTGTTTTGAACTGGATGTCTCAAATTCAATCTCAAATCAGGAATCTCAAATTCAATATTTCTAAGACAGCTTATCTTTCCTCCCAAGCTTTCTATATTCACTGTGACTATTGAGGCTACTGACATCCTACTAATGACCCAGGCTTGCATCCTGGGTCATCCTGGACTCCTCAGTCATATTCATCCCACATAACTAATTCATTGTAAAACCTCCTCCTTTTTTTTTTTTTTGCCATCACCATCATGGTATCCCTGTTGTAGAGAGCCAACCCAATCCCATCCTCTCCTCTCACATATCCATAGTTTTAGTTCAGGCTTTTATAATCTCTCATCTGGACTGTTGCAATAACCTACTAGCTGGTCACCCTGCTTCAATTTTCTCCTCCCACTAATCCATTCTCCACTTGGAGGCCAAAGTGATTTTGATAAAGGGTAGGTCTTAACCATGTCATTCTTGCCTCTCTCTCGTGCTCAGTGTGCTTCTGGGAGTGAATATAAAGTCTTCTGTGGGGCATTTAAACCTTGGACTTAAATGAGTGAACAACATTAACAACAAATACATAGAATGATATTTACATATTGCTGCCTCCATTAAAATGTAAGCTTCTTGAAGAGGGGAATATTTTCTATTGTCTTTGTATTGCCAGAATTTAGCATGGTGCCTTGCTCAAAGAAAGTACTTAATAAATGCTCATTTACTGATTGACAGACCACTCTGTCTTGTTCTTTTTCATGATATCTCTTTAGACTTCCTGTTGCCATATAAATTCTTTGAAGATAAAGACTGTTTTTATTTCATCTTTGTCATCCCAATATCTAGCACAGTCCCTGACCAATAGATGTTTTTTGATTGATTATTTGATTGATTTTCCACCTCTTTATCAAAATGTGACTTGTGGATTTTATTGGCATTTGTTTTTTCTAAAAATGTCCCTTTCTTTTAGCCTCCAAAGTCAAAGAATGACAGCGTCAAAGTACATCTTATGGGTAAGTATTGCCCAAGATTAAAGAATCCCAAAGTTATAAATGGAATATGGATTTTCAATTTTTTTTATTTCTTAATTTCTTCCAACATAGAAGTTAGAGCACAGTGAAAAGGATGATCATGGCTACCGTTTACTTCTTTCATTTCAGATAGTGGGAGCAAATTTATATAGTAACTGGAACAGGGTGTTCAGTTTGGGGTGTGCCTCAGATACCAGGTGTGGCAGAAATTTAGCTGTTGGGATGGTGGAATTCCAATATAATGAGTCCCAGAGGCACTCTCTGCCCTGTTATTTGCCCTGTACAGCTCTTCTGGCCCTGCAAGGAAGGAGAAAGAGCTAATTTTGTCCAGAGAGGTAGGGCAGACACTGCCTCCCCCACACACCTCTGCCCCAACTTGTCTTGGCCCCTGACCCTAGACTCGGCTCAGAACATGGCCAGAATTACTGAGCTGGTGCCAACACCTCCTCCACTCCTTTGCCAGCCACTCAGGATAGTGTTTGGGTCTTCCGTGGCCTCTATAGTTTGCAGGACTGTAGCACCAGGTGGAAAGCTGCTTACTCTCAGTGCTCTGCATTATGTAGTCAGTGGAGGCTTTCTCAGATGGGTCAGGACTTGTGATTTCAATGGTGTGAATGACTTTAATGTGGAAACCATTCCCACAGATGCAGTTTGGTACTGTTTAAGGACAAGAGTTCTTACCCCTTTTAGTGTCTTGGACGCTTTGGGCAGTCTGATGAAGCCTATGGACCCCTTCTCAGAATAATGTTTTTCAATGTGTAAAATAGAATACATAAGATTAGAAAACAATTCCATTAAAATTCATTTATCAAAGTGTTAAAAAGTTCACAGATCCCAGGTTAAGAATCTGGGCTGCCTAGGATACTGAGAGATCAAATGATTTGCTAATAGATATGTGGCCTTTATGTGTTAAGAGGTAGGGCTTAGGGAGATCCAGGTGTTCTTAATTTCAAGGCCGATCCTTTGTGCTTCCTTTATCACATTGCCTTTGAATATATTGTGAGTTCATTTAAAAACATATATGTATATATGGGCAGCTAGGTGATACAATGGATAGAGGGCTGGTCCTGGAATCAGCAAAACTCATCTTCATAAATTCAAACCTGACCTCAGACATTTACTAGTTGCGTGACCCTGAGTAAGTCACTTAACTCTATTCACCTCAGTTTCTTATCTGTAAAATGAGCTGGAGAAGGAAATGACAAAGTACTCCAGTATCTTTGCCAAGAAAACTCCAAATGGGGTCATGGAGAGTTGGGTGAAACAACTAAACAATAATAACAACATGCCTACATATATGTGTGCACATTTATTTTTAAATAGAAAAATAATAAAAAATTCTTTTCCACGTAAGTTTAAAATAACACTAGAATATTATATATGTATACATATGCATTTGTGTGTATACATACACACGCGTATATGCATCACATTTGTATTGATATACTTATCTGCAAAACTAGTATAGTAAGCAATAACAATGCACACATATTTCTATATTTCTATATGTATATAAGACTAAAGTCTCATTGTGGCATGGTGTGCAGGTCACTGTGGTTCCTTCAAGTCTATATCAGAGGAGACAGAATGGGGAGCCTTCCCTAGGTGGAAGAGTTTTGAGCACATGCATGGTGATGAATTCTATATCTATTATTGGAAGACTAGTCCAATTATGTTTGAGGAGGCTAAAGACCAGAGGATCGGCTTACCCAGGGAATTATTGTTTGGTTGTAGTGACCCAAATAATATTTTCTAAAGAATTCAAAGATTTGTGATGTTTTGGTAGAAGGCATGCTCTTTTTATTAAGTTAAATTAAGTCTTCTTATTAAAGAATTCATAGTTCTTTTTATTAAAATACTGATGCTCAACTGCGTATATGTGCATAGATACCCATACATACACATGCATGCGTACAAGTAGATGTATTCATCCCCCTGGGTCTTACCTTAGGAGCACACAAAAGAAAAGAAAATTGGCATTTCTTCCCTCCAAATCCAAAATGGAATTTGGCTTGCTAAATTCAAACTTGTCCTGATCAATATGGTTGCCATCTCTTCATGGCAATATAAACATCAGCCTGCAGTAGATCAATTTCCTAAAAAAAAGATCTCAACAACAAACAAACAAACAAAAAGAAGCTAGTCTGGAAAGAGTCCATGGAAGCCATTGCCTTCTTTCCATTTTGGGCACTCAGGCCGAGGCTAATTTTTGTAGCTGGCATCATTATTCTCAAGACACAGGAGACAATATTCCCACATCAAACAGCAGTGTTTAGTACTTAGAGTGATGGACTTGGATTCAGGACAGACTTGGGTTCAAATCATAACTCAGATACCTTTCAGGTGTGATCCCAACTTGGCTATTTCCTGATTTTGTGACCTCGGGCAAGTCATTTCTAACTTCTCTGGGCTTCAGTTTCCTCATTTGTAGAATGAGAAGTTTGAGTTAGGTGACCTCTAAGGTTTTATCCAGCTTTAAATCCAGATTCTATGATTTATAATGAGAAGCAGATAATACTCTAAAGTGAGCAGGATTTTTTTGTTTTTATAACCTTGAACATCCTCTTGCCTTCATTCTTCCCAGATTATGATGAAAAGAATGGTTTTACCTTACAATCTTCTGGTGAATTTGGATCCATCAAAGTGCAAAACAACTCCCTCAAGATCAGATGCGATGGTTTTTACCTGTTAAGGCTGAAGGGCTACTTCTCCCGAACTCCCAACATTGACTTTCATTATCGGAATAATCAACGTTTTTACTTATTCTCAAACTTTTCCTCCTACCAATATATCAACTCTGTTGCTGTGGTCTACCTAAGATTTGAAGACTTGATCTATCAGAGAGTGGTATCCCAAAAAGTGTCCTCAACAGACTTAGCGTTCAGTCAAGGTGAAATAAGCCTCATTCAACTGACTAATGATAACTTCTGTGGCAAATGAAGAATTGAGGTGAAGTGACCCAAGTCTACCATCACCACCAAAAACCAACTGGGATTGGGCAGAAAAACTGTTTCTACCATGGATCTGGAGGAGCCATAGCTCCAACCAAGCACACATCTTGGGCCATGACTGGATGCTCAAGTTTTTCTCAGGGATATAGTAGAAATTTACTTGAAGTACTAATTATCCCTATGGACTATTCAGAAGCCAAAGCTACCATTTCTGGGCAATTTGGTGGCATTCTGTGTGCCATTTAAATGGTGGGAGGATTGGTGGTTTGGCTTAAATGGGAAAAAATAAATTGTGGGAAACCATCAGGGTTTGATAAGGATGGTCATATAAGGAACACTATTTTTCCGTTGGCTCCTTGTCCCCCTCCTTTTTTCTACACACATCCTCATCATTTATTTTCCTTCATAGTTTGTGTGTGGATAGAGACCTGTCCCAGAAATATGGCTCTTGCTGTGATGCTGTGAAACACATTCATAGTACTGCAAAGGAAGCAATAGAAAGAGAGTTTTCTGAAGTGGATAAACTTGTAAAAACTGTCTGTTCAGGGTGGGGTGGGGTGGGATGGGGTGAAGTGGGTGGTGGTAGTGGTTCAAGATGACAGGAAATGGAGCAGTTATTTTGGGAAGAGAAACAGATAACCTATAATATGAAAGAAGAACAACATACATGTACCCTTCTTCCCACATGTAGTCATTCAACTGGTATTTATTAAGTACCTGTTCTGTACCAGGTGGGGCAGCCAGGTGGTGCAGTGGATAAAATGCCAGCCCTGGAGACAGGAAGACATCTTCCTGAGTTCAAATCTGGCCACAGACACTAGCTGTGTGACCCTGGACAAATTACTTAACCCTGTTTGGGTCATTTTCCTCATCTGTAAAATGAGCTGGAGAAAGAAATGGCAAACCACTCCAGTATCTTTGCCAAGAAAACCCCAAATGGGGTCATGAAGAGTTGGACACGACTGAAAAATAACTGAACAACAACAACTGTACCAGGTACATGTGGACATAATTTTATCTCTATGTCCAGCTACCTTTTCTCCCCAACCCTTTGTCACTGCCAGGACTCCATTTCAGGAATAATATGGACATATTAACAAAGGCATCTTGGTGCCATAGGAAACTAATGCAAATCATACATGAGGAAGGACACACCTCTCTTTCTGGAAAACCATAAGACGTTCACTGATCTCACGGGCAACGCACAGTTGGTAACAGGAAGAAGCAGAGACATGAGTGCTTAGCTGATTTCATTCCCCATGTAATGGGGAATTTATTTAATACAACTGACATGTGCCCAGTTAACTTGAAGCGGCCAAACCTTATTTATTTAGCTTTGAGTTGTTCAACATCATAAAACAGAAGCTCATACTTCTAAATGCCAAAATAGATTTTATTTTTAACCTTTTTGAAGAAAATCTTTCTAAAACGTATCTTGCCCTCTGAAGTAAAGTGTTACTTAATCGCAGTTTAATGTTTTTTCTTAATTGTTTCATGCAGTAGAAAGAGCATAAGATTTTGAGCTGGAGGTCTCGAATCAGAACCTCATCTCTGCCATTTACTGCTTGTGTGAGTTGAAGCAAGTAACTCACCTCCCTGGACCTCCTCATATGTAAAATGAAGGGGGTCATATTCAACAACCTCTGTGTCTCTTCCTTGTCCTAAATCTGTGATTTTCATATAAGGATTTATTGAAGGAAATAGAGAAGAGAAGATTCAGGGAGATCATGATAACTATCTTCAAGTATTTGAAAGGTTGTGTGGACAACAGAGTAGATATATTCTGCTTCATTTTATTTATTGTTATTGATTGCTACTACTACTAACAGCTATTTGGTCCCAAAATGAAGAATCAGGAATACCGGGGTGGAAGGCAAATTTAGACTTGGTGTTAAGAAAAAATTCATAAAATGAGAGCTGTCCAAGTGGATCACTTGAAGGAGTGGCAAGCTCCCCCCTCCCTGGAGGGCTTCCAGTAGGAGTTGGGTGACTACTTTGGGGATCTCTTTGGTGTGTGAATTGGACTAGATGGCCAATGATGGCCTCCCAACTCTCAGGCTTCTCTGATTCTGTGATCCCACGATTCTGTCCTCATTATGAACAGCAAATGTGATGTAATACCAGAATGTCCTCAGGGTCATTTAAGGTAGGTAGGGCTATCTGTCCCCATATTAAATGGCCCTAGATTGCTTTATTTTGTGTCTAGCTTTTGTAGTTTTTCTGTCTCCTTCCTTTCTTTCTCAGCTGCTTCTTTTTTGCTATGCATGGTAGCAAAAAGTAGGTAGGCAGGCACTTACAGCAGCACCTCCTTCCCCCAGCCTATTGTCTGGTAAAAGATAAAGTTGCTAGAAATACATATAAATAAGTAAATAAGCTTTCAAGGAAGGTTTCAGGGAGATCTCCATTGGTAAGATGAATATACTTCAGGAGGGACTTCATGACATCTATTTTGGCTGTTCTGAGCCCCATCTCCTCTTTCATAAACTTCCTGGTCCTTCTTGGCTATATCCTAAAGAATTAGACTTGTTAGCTGTGTCTCTTGGATAAATGCAGTGTTAAGATATTTATTTGTATATGTGTTTATACATATATACATATATTTATAGTATTATTGTGTTTACTATTATGACATTTTAATCAGCATTTGCCTTCCATGTGTTGAGGACTGATGCAAAATGGTAAAATAGGTTAACCTGTGCTGCCTTCCTGTCCTGGCCTTTTCTGTAGGGTGCTCACTCTCTTTAGACAGTAGCCCTTACCCAATGCTCTTACACAGCTGTCATAACTCCCTCCAATGGTCAACCAGAATTTGTCACTGAAATGACACTCCATTCCTCAACAAAACCTCCCCATTCTATCATCTCCTTCTTTTAAGGATTTCCAAAGCAATAGTTCCTATTACCCTGGAAGCAGTCTAACAGGGAGGGGCAGTGAGAAGACCTGTCCCAAATGTGCTACTTACTAGCACTGTGCCACTGAGCACACATTTCTCTAAGCTTCAGTTTTCTCATCAAAAAAAAAAAAAAGAGGGGGTTGGATTAAATAATTCTAAGCTCCTGTCCTCTAATATCTCACAATTCTATTCCTGTAGAGCAGACCTTCATTGTGCCGTATTGTTTTTGTGCTCTGGTTAAGTGGACTAAACACATAGGTCTTGTCCTTTTTATGCTGAATTAATTAATGCTCTGTCCAGCTAACCTCTCCCCATCAATTTTCATGGGAACCCCTTCCCTATGAATTGCAAGCTGCTAGCTGTTACTGTTAGCTCCAATATAACAACTCTATCTAAATTTCAATTCAGATTGTAAGCTCACTGGACAGGGTTCCTGTTTCAAGCTGTATTTTGTGCCGAATAGGTTTTTGCCCTACTGTCAATTATGGTAATAATGTTATTATTATTAATAATATAACTAATAATATTGATATTCACAGAAATAATAAAGCTGAAACTCATGATCTGATATTGCTCAAAGTGTCTGTGTTTTTCTTCCTTCATTTCATATCATTTTTTTTGTATTCTGAGCCAAAGAGAATGGGTGAGTATAAGGCCATCACCAGAGTTCCATTGTTTGTTATTGTTACACTTAGCAATAACAGCTCAAGTGTATGTTGCAGAGCAATTTCTTTCTTTTCCTTTTTTAGGGTTATTTTTATAAAACATGATTTATTATTTTTAGTTCCAAATTCTTTCCTTCCTCCCTCTACCCTTTCCCCATTCATTGAGAAGCAAGAAATATGATACCCATTATACATATGAAGTAATGCAAAACATTTCTAGCAGAGCAATTTTCTGAAAACAACTCTGTGAGCTAGAAAATGCAAGGCTTATTATGCCCCTCTTTTTTTTTTTTAAACTGGACTTAATGATTTCACTGGTATAGAGAACTTCTGGTGAAGTAATTCTCTGCACCATTGCAAGTCATATATATAGATACTCTTCCTTTCGTCCTTCCCTCCCTTCCTTTCTTCCTCCCTCCTTCCTTCTTCTTCCTTCCTTCCTTCCTTCCTTCCTTCCTTCCTTCCTTCCTTCCTTCTTCCTTCCTCCTCCCTTCCTCCCTCCTTCCTTCCTTCCTTCCTTCCTTCCTTCTTCCTTCCTTCCTTCCTTCCTCCCTCCTCCTTCCTTCCTTCTTCCTTCCTTCCCTCCTTCCTTCCTTCCTTTCCTTCCTTCCTTCCTTCCTTCCTTCCTTCCTTCCTCCCTTCCTCCCTTCCTCCCTCCCTCCCCCCTTCCTCCCTTCCTCCCTTCCTCCCTTCCTCCCTCCCTCCCTTCCTTCCTTCCTTCCTCCCTCCCTCCCTCCCTCCCTCCTCCTTCTCTCCTCCTCTTCCTTCCTTCCCTCCTCCTCCTTCCTTCCTTCTTTCCTTTATTCCTCCTTCCTTCCTTCCTTCCTTCCTTCCTTCCTTCCTTCCTTCCTTCCTTCCTTCCTTCCTTCCTTCTTTCCTTTATTCCCTCCCCCTCCCTCCCTTCCTTCCTTCCTTCCTTCCTTCCTTCCTTCCTTCCTTCCTTCCTTCCTTCTTTCTTTCTTCCTTCTTAGTTCTTGTAAGACATATCACACACTTCTCTCTATCCCCCTGCTCCCTTTTTCATTTTCATTCCATCCTTTCCAGTTGTGAAATTCTGTAATTCTGCAAAAAATTATCAACAATTTCTTGAGATAGGAAGGGATAGAGGGGAAAAGTTCAGGACCCTAGAGTAAGGAGTTCTATGGGTTCAAAATCTTCCCTTTGACTCTTATGATCTGGGTGACTATGGACAAATCACTTGCTCTCTTAGTCCCTCAGTTTCCTCATCTCAGAAATGGAGATAATAATATCTGTAACATCTAATTCACAGATTTGGTTTGGTGATCAGATGAGATAATTAAAGGACTTTGCAAATTTTATAGCACTAGAAAAATGTTAGCCATTGATATTACTAGTATGACGTAGAAGAAAGCACTGAATTTGGAGTTAGAAGATGTGGATTTGAGTTTGGGTTTTGCCATTTACAAGCTGTGTGACCTTGGGCAAGTCACCTTACCTCCATGGACCTCAATCTCCTCATCTATAAAATAGGAGAGTTGAACTACATTAGCTCAAAAGTATTTGCTAGCTCTAAGTCTGTAACATTGTGATTATTGTGCTGTAAGGGTTGACTCTATGAATAATATAAAGAAACAGAGAGACATATTATAAAGAGAGCAGAGCTAAAATAACAACATAAATATTGACTCCAACCATGTAAACAGAGACAGCCCTAAAGACAATAGAAGTCAGATCAAACACAATAGATAATAATATCAAGTAATTACAGTTAAAGTAGGTCATTCTACTTTCTGTTTAAGATTTCTGAACATTGTTTTGATTCAAGACAGTGTTAAACTGCTGGTGTTATCTGGGAGGCTGAGACCATTAAGCCTTTATGAGCCATTAACACAATCATAAATTTGTCAGATTAGATAAATTAGTTTCCTTAAAGGACTGGGTACAAGACAGTACAGTTCTGACTATCAAAAGGGCAGGGAAGTGGGGTGGAGAGTAGCTGCACCTAGACATGGGC